TATTGTGGTCTTTTGTAATAACATAACATTGTATACTATAAACATATGACAAATATATACACAACCCGTGTCAGTAACAGAATTTGTGACAGTAATTCAGATTATTATTCATTTATACGCAATTAGTAAAATAAGAAGTCGCTGTTCTCTATCGTCTTTACCTTTTCCATAAGATGTTTTTAACTTGCTCTTTGAAACTAACATATCTAGACTAGTTGCAGATCTAATGTGCGATATTAGGGAGTTCCAAGTTTCAATTGAAATATATAGAAATGCCTTCTTTCCATTAACCCCCACTGTTGGTTTAAAGATTGACATCTCCCCAGCCCTAGTTTGAAGCCTTGATTTTCCGAAGTTAATGCAGGGGTAGAAATAAGGAGAAAAAAGAGATGGTCCACAGAACCATCTAGTTTGAAATTTAGATGATCCTCCTAAATTTCAAATTGTTCTCTAAAAGTAATGCGGCGTGCAAGCGTAAGAAAGAGATTTTACATGGTGATAAAATGGTTTAAAGGAATAGTAGGTCCATCGATTATGCAACGTTGACGAATGCTAGAATAACTGGCACCTTGTGTAGTTAATAAGTACATTACCTTATAGCCAAACGTGTATTAGTTTGTCCAATATCACTGCTGGTTACTAAGAAATGTCTAATTGAAATCCGTAAATTTGGTAATCTGGCGCCAACGCTAAATTGCTTGCCAACCAAATAAGCCTCGATTTCGGTTCGGTGACGTCACATGTTGCTACAGGATGTTGAGCAGTGAATTGTTTGTCCCGGGTAACGGTTTGTAACGGCACTGTTCTATCAGGATGGTACTATCGCTAGCGTGCCAGCTGAGCGGCAGCGTGCCAGCAGCAAGAGCTTGCAATAGCTGGAGATGATTTCCCAGTGCGCAGAGATACTGCCTGAACGTAATAAACACGGACGCTCTTGATAAGGTAAAATGACAAGGTAAGGATATAACGTTTTATCGGGGCTGTCCGTTTATAGTCCGTGGGTGTCCGTCAGTTTTCGTTCGTGTGTTTTGCACCATTTCTGTGTTTCCCATTTCATAGTGTAATGAACTTGCTGTACGCAGGTTCGTACGATTCGTCAAATTGGGTTCTAATATCCTTTTCACATATTATATGTTGTTTGTAATCTCAAGATCTTCGTATATTCATTTATTCCCAAGAGTAAAACCATAACGTACGGAATGCGCACTCAGACCACAAGGATCGAAATCACTGACGGCCGAGCATACGTGCGAAAATGTCCGGTGCACTATATATAATCTGTATGACACCGCTTCGCCGGTTACGGCCGGTCAT